TATTTAAAAAAAAATTTATGGACCTTTATTTTATTTATTTATATATGGTGCTGAGAATTGGACCCAGTGCCTCACATGTGCAAGGCAAGTGTTTCACCACTGAGCCATAACCCCAGCTCTTTTTCTTTATTTTTAAAAATTCTTTTTATTACTATTTTAAAAATTTTGAGACAGTATCTTGCTAAGTCACTGAGGGTCTTGTTAAATTACCAAGGCTGGTCTTGAACTTCAGCTCTTCTTGCCTCAGCCTCCCAAGTCACTGGGATGACAGGTGTGTACCACCACACCTGACTTTACTTTTTTAATGTGGTTATTAGAAAATGTAAAATTATGTGGCTAACATTATAATACTTTTGGGAAATACCACTCTAAAAAATGAAAAATCATGAAAAAGAATCCATTTTTTCTTATGAAAATAGGCAATGATGATGGTAAAGCACCTAATACAAATACCCCAGAATGTGTTGAGGATTTCATGAAAAACATAGAAGTTATTTATTATACATAATGGATCAGTCGTTTTCTTTATATTGCATGATACCTTGCCATGCATTTGCTTTCCTAATCTTTTTGAATTTAATTTATTTTCCAGAGTGTAAAAGATAAAAGGTATTGCATTTACTGCCTTTTATCTAACATATTTTTACTTTGGAAGCACACATTTCCTAGAGGAATGTTTTTACAACATTACCAACTCACTGTTTCTTTTCTTTTGTATCATGTTTCCTTCAGTTTTACTTATCTATCTATCTATTAATCTATCTATCTATTTATTTATTTTTGGTGTTGGAGATTGAGCCCAGGGCCTCATGCATGCTAAGTACGTACGAGCTCTACCACTGAGCTACACCCCCAGCCCTTATGCTTCTTTTCAACAGTAAACATTGACTCTTGTGTGTTAATTGGATAAAGTCACAATTTTCTCATCCACAAAATGAGGATAATAAAATCTAGTATGCAGGTGTGTCATGTTAGATGAGGTAAGTGAATATGCTATGTTAGACATTGTAGGAGAGAGAAGAATGACTAAGATCCCCCTCTCTCAGCAGAGTGAGAGTGACAAATATGTGTGTTAAACTGAGTGGACTTCAGAGAAGGTGACTCAGTCACTCAAAGGAGGCACTAGATTTTATATTACATGAGCAAAATGGAAAGAGTGATTATTAGGTTTGACTCCACCTGGGCAGTCACATAGGGGTGGAGTGGGTTGGTCAGGCAGGCATTTTAGATTTTGAATACAGTAACTAGATGAGAGTTTAGGAAAATTCATGGTATGTATTTTAGGTTCCTTTTGGTTTAAATATTTATGGATTTTATTATATTACATTTGGCTCTTTATTGCCTTACTGTACCTCAGTGGACCATCTACCAGCCTGGGAATTCCTCCTGTATAGGGATTATGATATTCATCTGTGTCCAGCACAGAACTTGGCAAAAACCAGGTGTTAAATGGGTATTTAATGGGTAGATGAATGATTAAAAACTGTGAAGTCTTTAAAAGATGGTGTAGCGCTATATTTTTTAGTTCAAAATACAGTATCTATGACGATGGTTTGAATTACTTTTCTTCTTCTTCTTCTTTTTTTTTTTTTTTTTTTTGGTACTGGGGAATGAATCCAAGGGTGCTTTACCACTGAGTTACATCCTTGGTTCCTTTAATTTTTTATTTTGAGACGGAGACTCGCAAAATTGCCGAGGCTGGCCTTTAACTTTTTATCCTCCTGCTTTAGTCTCCCAAATTGCTGGGACCATTGTGCACCACTGTGCCTGGCAAATCCAGTTTTTTTTTGTTGTTGTTGTTGTTTTGGTGCTGGGGATTGAACCCAGGCCTCATGCATGCAAGGCAGGTGTCTGCTGCTGAGGTGTATTCCCAGCCCTGTGTTTGAGTTTCTAGACTTTTGTCACATACTTAGAGATATCTCTGCTGAAAGATGTGCATATATATATAGAGTGAGTGGTAGATTCTTATTCTCATGTGATGAACTGCTGATCAGAAGTCTTGGAGCTTTAGTTACCTGCTGCTCAAGGAGGGCTTTTACTTCACCTCTTAGTGGCCATCACATTTCTGTGAGTTTTCAATACAACTTCCCTTTGATCTCTGTTCAGTGAAGGATATAGCTGGCTCTACTTCTTTTATTTAAAAAAAAAAAAAGAAGAAGAAGAAGCCTGCCTGCCAACTCTGGCTGCTTGGAAAGGAGTGTTATTCTGCAGGGRAGGAAGCATAATGGCAAAGGGTTCTATCTACAGGAAATCCAATGTTTGCTCTGCAGAGAGACATGTGATAAATTGAAAGAAAGGAAGTGGCTTAGTAACTAGAAGGTCAGTTTGTGTGAGATTTCCTTTTTTGGGTTTCCTCCTATCCTGTTTATATTATCATTATGTTTTAATCTTTTATTTCCTATTTAACTGTGAAGTTGCTTTCATGTTAGGGGTGTTTGAGATATGCTTTGAATATGATTGACAGATTCACTGAAAAAAAGCACAAGGAGAGAACTGTTTGTTATTTCTTCTCACTTCCCATGATTTTGAGAAAGGAGTTCAGAAAAGCTGTGAATAATCCCTTTCCCCTCCAACCACTTAAATTGGTTTTTGTCAATGGACTGATTATGTCATTGATTTTACAATTACAAAAAGAAGCCATTCTTGGCTTACCTAACTTTTTACCCGCTGGGAATATTACAGTTTTTACAGTAGAGGATATAGTAAAAACCTATTGGGCACAAGGCTGAATGTATTTTACCCATTCTAGGAACACAGAGAGTTAAATGAAAGGTTCTGGAAAGACCAGGGTGTAAAGAGGAAAGGGTGGGGCATTAGTTTTTCCCTTAGGCATTCACTGTTGTATGTGCAGGGGTCTTTTTCTTGCCTAATTCCTTTGTTGACCTTGTAAACTTTTAATTGTGTAGCAGAGAAAGCTTTGTTTTATGAAGCTCTTCTAAATTAGGCACAATTATTACTATTATGTTTTGGGTATGGGGGATTGAACCCAGCACACTTTTACTACTGAGCTATATCCCTATCCTTTTTATTTGTTTATTTTTTTTTCTATTTTGAGAAAGGATCTTGCTAAATTGCCAAGGCTGGACTCAAACTTGAGATCCTCCTCTTGCCTCAGCTGCCTAAATTGCTGGAATGCCTGGCTAAATGCCACCACACCTGGCTAAATCAGACACATTTTGACATGGCCTAAAAAGTCATTTGATACATAGTAATTGCCCCCTGATTTTGAACTTCATGAGGATTATGGAGGTGTTAAGGCTTAGGGTTCTGGTGAGAACTAGGAATGGTGCAAAACTCAGGGATACAGGGGGAGTTGAGAGTTGAGGGCTGGAGCGAAGCTTTGGGATGAAGGTGCTGATCTGGGTGTGGTCTTGTAACAGTGGGCCAYTTTATTATCTGAATTTAGTCCTTGTTGCTCTGCCACTTCTTATTTTTAAGACGACGTGTTTCTTTCTCTTCCTCTCACCCTCCCTGTTCCTAATCACCCCCTCATCCTAATCTCAGGGGAAACAGAATTATCATTTCTCTCTATCAAGGGAAGGGTTATCTGTCCTTGAGCACACACCCATCACAGGAACAAAGTAATTCATGCTTGAGGATGGCACCAGAAGATATAAGAAATGACTGTCTTTAAATGAACAAGTGAATTACAACTCTAGACAGAAAATGTAGCCTTTGAATCATCTTTTAAAAACAAGTCTGTTCCCGATGATGGGGAGAATCACAGCCTCTAGGACAGGAGTCCCCTGCTTTTCTCCTTTGCTCTCAAAGCAGTACAACTTCTTTTTTCTTTTTCAAAACCTTGTCTTCATTATTGGATTGGCATGGGGATGACGACTGAGATTTTGCCAACAGTGACACATTAAACCAGTGACAAATTCTCAGCCTTTCCTCTCTTCCATAATTTTGTATTTGGACCCCCAAATTACCCAGATTATGGTYAACAAACTTAAAAGTGGCACTGCATATTTTAGTAAAATAAGTCATATTTCTGAAGGAAAATGAAGTCCAATAGATATTTGCCAAACATAAGGAGGTTCTTTAAAGTGTTCACGCAATTTTCTGTTAAGCTACTTTTTTGGTTACCTTTTTGCTATCCTGTGAATTTGGATAAATTGCTTTAACTCCTCCAAACCTCAGTCCTCCTTTTTAAAGTTAAGGGATTGGATTTTTCAGTCTTTAAGTTTTAATTTAGCCCTAAAACATTTCTACTTTTTTACACCTCATTCACTAATGAATTTTTTTTTTTTTTTTTTTTGGTACTGGGGGTTGAACCCAGTGACATGTTGCCACTTAGCTTCATCTCCAGCTTTTTTTTATTTTTTATTTTGAGACAGAGTGTTACTAAGTTGCTTATGGCCTCACTGAGTTGCTGAGGCTGGTTTTGAACTTGGAATCCTCCYGACTCAGCCTCCTGAGTTGCTGGGATTACAGGTGGTACACCAYTATGCCCAGCCATGAATTTTTTTTTTTAGCATTGTAATGCAAGATAAATAAAAAATTTCTTTTAAAAAAATATATTTACCAGTTTTCACATGTGGGTTTGCCTGTATTTTCATTGCCATGTGTGTATCATGCAGAGTATGCATTATGCAGATCTTTGGGAATATAGTCTTTTCAACCTTGTAAGTAGCAGATCTTATAGTTGAAGACACTTTGAAGGTGGAGAGTCTCACCTCGAATCCTTGGCTTTGACAAGTACTGACTTTGTGACTTTAAGCAACCTAGCTTTCTAAGCCTTAATTTCCTGTTTGTGATATGGAAATAACACGGTACTTTATAAAGCTACTGTCAGGCCTATGGGAAATGGTACATGTTACCTAATGTCTTTATATGARAATGAGTTTCCGATTTTGTCCAGCCAACATACAAACATGTTTTATGTGTGGACTTAGACATCATAAATTTAGTACTATTTCACTTAATGTTTATCAAATAAGTTGATGACCAGAACATTTTTCTAATAGAAACTAACTTAATATATTTCTTTCTCTTTGTAGATCTTATATTGTACTTTAAACACACCTAAAATTGACATGGAAAAACTCCTTGGAGGGCAATTAGGTCTTGAAGATTTTATATTTGCCCATGTGAAAGGACTAAAAAAAGAAGTGAATGTATATAAATCTGAGGATTCACTTGGACTCACCATTACAGATAATGGTGTTGGCTATGCTTTTATCAAGGTAAGTTAAAAAGCAAACCAAAACAGTGTGACCTAATTGAAGTTAACATTTAAGAAAAATCTACCAGGTCAATGACAGTTAGAAATGATCTTCAGAGTGAGCGGCAGCTCAGCAGGCATGCATGAACTGGTAACGTTAGTTTTACTTTCATTTAAAAAAAAAGTTCAAAGACATCATTTTTTGTTTACCCTTTCTTTGAATTTCTTCCCTTTGGTTTAAACTTCCTCTAGAATATAGAACTTACTGAAAAAGAAAGACTGTTCCTGGTGCCTATTCATTATCCATGTAAGTTTTTCCAGGTTTGTAGCTCTAAAATCGGATGACATCCATGCTGACATCCAGTGATGAGGGTTACTTTTAACTGCACAGATTTTCAGATATCTTATTTACTTCTTTAAAATTGCTCTTCAAAATTACACAAAAGGTATAATTTCTCTGTTTAAATACAAAGTAATATAGAGAGACAAAGGCAAGAGAAAGAAGTTTGAAATGGTACAAAATTTTTACGAACTCGGGAGTAGTAAAAAGGTAGATGCCTCTTTAAAATAGTTCTGTTGTAATGAGGACAGTTGTCACCTGACATCTGTGGGGAGATTGGTTCCAGGACCCTCTGGGGATGCTGAAATCTTCAGACGCTTACATCTTGCATATGGTATTTGCATATAACCTATGGACATCCTCCTACATACTTTCAATCATCTGTAGATTACTTATAATTCTTATAAAATTAAATGTTATGTAAATTGTTGTTGTATTGTTTGGGGAATAATTACAAGTAAAAAAATCTGTACTTGGTCAAGACAGAAGCAATTTTTTTTTTCTTTTGAAATGGTTTCTTGCTATGTTGCCCAGTCTAGCTATGAAATTCTGGGATCAGGTGATCCTCCTATCTCGGRGTAACCATTAATTGTAATAATAACAGCTGACTTATATCAAATGCTTACCATGTAATAGGCACTTGGCATACATTTTTTTATTTAGTTATCACAACAATTCTATTTGTTGATATTATGTTTTTTCTTTTTTATTTACTTTTATGTTGAGGTGTAAGAACTTTTTTCTTTTTCTTTCTTTCTTTTTGTTTTTTTTTGGTACCAGTAGTTATAGTACCAGTAGTTACATATAAGTGTAATACAGGATTGAAGCCTGGGGCACTTAACTGCTGAGTCACATCCCCAGCCCTTTTTATTTTTTATTTTCAGACAGGATCTCAATAAGTTGCTTAGGGCCTTGCTAAATTTCTGAGGCTGGCCTTGAACTTGCAATCCTTTGGCCTCAGCCTCCTGAGTTGCTGGGATGACAGGCATGTGCCACAGCACCTGGCTGAGATGTAACAAATTTTTAATGTACAGCTTTAATGAATGTTTACATCATAACACTTGTGTACCTATCACACAGATCAATGGAAATTGTATTTCTACTGCTCTGAAGCCTTTCTGTGCTCCTTCTCAGTAAATACTYTCCTCTCCACCCCTTTGGGGAGAGTTGTAGCCACTCTTTTGACTTCTGTCACTATTTGCTTCTTGAAGTTTATATACTCTATTTTTTCTGACTTCTTTTGTTCAACGTGATGTCTGTGAGATTTGTCCACAGGAAGGTAATATTAGCAACTCTTATCTTGCAGATATAAAAATAGGATCAGGAAAGTTAAAGTAACTTGCCCAAAGTTGTACAGCTGGAAAAATTCAGGATATGAATCCCAAGAAGCCTCACAGTGGGCCTGGAATTTCTGTGCACTGAGCTAAGAATTAGTGGTAGGCTGCATGCAGCACAGCATGTTGCATGTCTTTATTTTGTCCAAATCTTGATTTGCTGATGCATTGTCATCATTAAAGAAATAGTCTTAGGAAAGTTATCTTCCTAACTAAATGGTGCTTCAACTACCCACTTGATAGAATGGCTATTTTTAGCTCTGCAAAAGATATGACTGTGCTGAAGGTTGAGTGGGTGACCAAATGGAAAATCTGTGAGTTGGGAAAGTCATGTGGGATTATCCAAGGGAAGATCAGGACATGAGGCATATGCAGCAGTGACTTTCTAATGTCAGCAGAGAAGGGCTTGGAAGTTTTGCAAACATGTGTGGATTTTTTAMATGTTAGTCTCTGACGTTTGTAGCTCACATTTCTTTCTTTCTTCTTTTTTTTTTTTTAATGCCTTGTCTAACATGTGCCTGCCTTAGAGTACTATCATTAACCCTGTGGAGACCAAGAACCTGGTAGCAAAGGAGAAAGTGGAACACAATCCAAATAGCAAACATGGAGTTTACTTTAAAAGAGAGATTCATATCATATTGGGTACTTAGTTTATAAAAATTTTAAAAATGGGATCATTTCAAACATACAAAAACAGCATAAACATATAAAGAACTCTTGTATATCATTTACCTAAATATCCAATTTCTACATTTGCTTTATTTTCTGTTATATACATTTGTGTGTGTGTGTGTTAGTATGTATATGTGTATGTATATATGTACACATATATATGTAGTACTTGGGATATATAATATGTATGTATGTCCCTTAGTACTTGGGGTATAATTACTAAGCACAAGGATATTCTTTATATCTAACTATAGTGCAATTATAAAATTTTAAAATCTAACATTTATATAATACTTTAAAACTAAGCTGTAGTGTACATTTTAGCTTCAACAGTTTTCCTAATAGTGTCCATTTCCCCTAGTACAGGTTTAATCTAGGGTCATGATTTTCATTTGTTATGTATTTTTAGTCTTTTAAAAATTATTATAATTATTAACATAGTAATTGTACAAATTAGTGGGAATTACTGTGACATTCCATACATGTATATGTTAAACTCTGATAATGTCCTCCCCGCTTCTCCTACCCTACCCCAACTCCCTTCCTGGACTTTCATAGTCCTACTTTCAGGTCATCTATTTTTCATTTCTACATATGAGAGATAATGTGATATTTGTCTTTTTATGTGAGTATAGCTTATTTCACTTAATCATGATGTCTTYTAGTTCCACCCATTTTCCTGAAAGTGGCAGGATTTTATTTTTCTTTATGACTGAATATTACTCCATTGTGTCTGTGTATTGTTTTTTTTAATCTATTCATCTGTTGATGGGCACCTAGGCTAATTCCATCTTTTGGCTATTTTGAATTGTGCCACAATAGACATGGTGTGAAGTTATTTCTTTTGTATGCTGACTTGATTTCCTTTGGTTATATACCCAGGACTGGGATAGCTATGTCATTACATTTTGATTAAGAGTGCATTGAGTCTGGAGATCACTTTTGGGTGGTATGGCCATTTTATCAATATTAATTTTCTCAATCCATGAACATGGGAAATCTTTTCTGCTTCTAGTGTGTTCTTAATTTCTTTCTTCATTGTTTTGCATTTTCATTGTAAAGGTATTTCACATACTTGCTTAGGTTTGTTCCTAGCTGTCTTATTTGTCTTCTGGCTATTATGAATCAGATTGCTTTCCTGATTTCTTTCTCAGTGAGTTCATTATTGGTGTATAGAAAAGCTACTGATTTTTATATGTTGATTTTGAATCCTGGTACTTACATGTGTTTACCAGCTCTAATAGTCTTTTGATGGAATCTTTAGGATTTTCTATGTACTGAGTCATGTCTGTAAACAGGGGTTATTTGACTTCCTCCTTTCCAGTTTGTATGCCTTTTATTTCTTTCTATTGCCTGATTTCTCTGGTTAGCACTTCTAATACTATACTGAATAGGAGTGATGAGAGTGGACAACCTTGTCTTATTTCTGATGTCTTAGGGGAAATACTTTGTTTTTTTCCCAGGGTATGGTTTGAATCTGAAATGTCCCCCAGAGTTTCCTGTTGAAAGCATGATCCCCAACATCAGGACTCAGAGATGAGGCTTTTAGGCAAAGATTGGATCATGAGGATTGTAACCTCATCAGTGGATTAATCCATTTGATGGATTATCCATTAATAGCTGAATATATAATAAATATTAATTGATTGACAGCTGACTAAAGGGAAGTTGGACCTAGTTGGAGGAAGTATGTCACTGATGCTTGCTGTGGTTTAT